TCTTGTTTTATTTATTTTCTTTTTTCATTTCTGTTTTGTGTAGGGGAAATGAATTGGATCATTCAATCACCTATCCTCGTGGGATCGACCTCGCACTTACATATGCTATACTACCTAACGGCTCGTGCACTTGCGAGTATCACAAGTTGAGGATGCAACTAAATCCATTTTGGTGAAGCTGTATCTACGCAACATTAGCTATCTTGGTTTGAATTAAGAGTAGACACCATGCTTTAATTCGAATTGAACTATGAATAAGAAGAGTATGTATGGACATTCGACAACAGGGATTAGATACATGCTTGGTTGTTTAAATTGTTCTTCTATGCTTAATGGGTTCCTAATGCTTAATTTTAGGTTAGACAACAAATGATCAAATTAGGGAATTAGGAACACAAGGTTATGACCAAACACCATGGCTTAATCATACTTTAGCTAGAATCAATCCGTTAATCTAATTGAACTTGGGAACTTATTTGCTTGAGTTATTTCTTTTTTTTCTTGTTTTATTTATTTTCCTTTTCATTTCTATTTTGTGTAGGGGAAACAAATTGGATCATTCAATCACCAATCCTCGTGGGATCGACCTCACACTTACATATGCTATACTACCAAACGGCTCGTGCACTTGCGAGTATCACAAGTTGAGGATGCAGCTGAATCCATTTTGGTTCAGCTGAATCGACGCAACAAGTTTTTGGCGCTCCGGACGAAGATTCCAAGACCGTCATCGAGCGGCTCCGGGAGTTCCTTCTCCTTGATGTTCAACAAATGACCGCTGCCGGGGCAATTATGGAGTTTAGATCCTGCCTGGATACGGCTATGGCGCTCGGTCTGCGCGACTCGGCTCAGCTGGATGAACTGCAATCTCGTCTAGCCGAAGGCGAGGAGATGATCGGCCGGTATGCTGAAGCCGTTATGAGGATGGCCGAAGGGAGCTCGCTCGAGCAGGATCTGGAGGTGATCAAAGGACAAGTCAAACCTGCAATGGCCCAATTGAAAGAGAATGACCTCGTCGTCAAGCGAGAGAATGAAGAGCTTGCGCAAGTCGAGGCCCAGATTGCCGAGCTCCAGACTCGCCGAGACCTCATACTCCGGCGCCGAGATGGCGCGGTTGCGACCGGAAACGAGTTGAAATCTTCGGCCAAGCGAATCCTCAAAGTAGCGAATCCTCAAAGCAGCGAGCGGAAGCTGATCCGAGCGAGGTGGCAGCGGACATCAACGGTGGGGACATTGCTTGGAGAAGGATCACCTGCCTGATCTGGGGGATGTTTAGCGAGGGGGTCTAGGCAGGCGATGAGCGGTCGTCCTAACTATTTTTCCTTTTTTTTTTCTTTTGGGATGTAATAAATAACCACATACATTTTATTTTATCTACACATATTTTTCTTTCGTTTATGACCACAGACAGATATATGTAACTGTTTATTACGGCCGTGACTGGCCGTTCTCTTCTTTTTTTGTGCAAGTAATTACCCTTTTTATCTAAATGTAAGGCAAGGGCCTTTTTTCTTGAAAGACTGTAACTTTCCTTCTTTCATATGATGGCCGTGCTTTTTGTTTAGCCTGTCCGCCTACTTTCCTCTTTTTCTTTTTCTTGACTTTTTTGTCGTAGGTCCTCGGCGCCATTTTCTTTTGAACTTGCGCCGAGTTGTAGGTGTTGAGTTGCGACTGTTTTGAATTTTTTGAACTTCTGGGCATCATCCGTGAGTAATCCTTCTTCTCTCGGCAACGTTGCCCGATAATTTGAAGAAATTGACCCCTTCGCTTTAAGAGTTTCTTAGTGTCATGGCCGTTGGCCAAGACATAAGGAAATGTATCCACGGTCGAGCTTTGTGAAGCGCGGCAAGCCCAAAAAACCTTAGGGAATAATTTGCGCCAAACCATGGGTTTGCTTAATAGATACGGCTTTGCGCGCCCCGGTGCCCCCTACCGTCGCTGAGCCAAGCCGTCCTCGGTCACGCACCGGGTACCTCTGACCTGAATCCCTCGGGGGGGTATCGCCTGTTGGTCATTGTTTCGCGGTTTCACCTGTTGGGCCGTTTGAGCAAGGGGCTCGGCCACTGCGACCACGCCGGGCAGTTTCAGAGGAATGTCGTGGGCTTGACCGAGATACGCTTGGTCCGCCGGCCGTTGAGGTACGGCCACCTGGTTCTGTTGAATTTCAACATGATGGGAATCCAAGTGCGTCTGCATTGTCGTTGGAAAGACTGGATCGCGTATTTGTACTGGTAATGCAGCAGTCGAGCCCTTCTGATCGCATTGTTGTGGTGACGCTTTGGTCACGTTGCTATGGCCAAACTGTGCCTGGTCGGCCAACGTATGGGTTGGGCCGAGATGCTGGACCGTAGACAATGTAGGGCTACTCCGCCCTAATGCTTTGGCTAAAGCGTGTAGTGGGCCGCATGCTGTTTTTGTCGGATGGGTTGGTCCAGGATTCGCCCTCGTGGGTTGGGGCTGCCCCCAGCTATTGGCTGGCAGTAGAGAGCGCTGGCCGTAACCTGACACTTCGGTGCGGGCAGAGATGCCGAGGCTACTGCTTTCGCCGTGAGGCTCGACCCTTTCGTGCTCTCGGCTTCTCTGTCCGGTTCTAGGAGACGTTGCGGGCGAGACTGCCGGCGTATTCTCCTGAAAAAGCATCTGCAGCTCTGATGAGAATCTGTCCATTGCGGCCATGAAGGATGTTTCTATCCTGTAGGCCTGCTGGGTCATTAGATCCTCTACCACTGCTTGTTCTTGCATGGACTCGGCCGTGCGCTCCGTCGTTACTGGAACGCTGGCTGAGATCTCGACCGAATGTTCGGTCTCGATGATTGGTGAAGTGGACTCAGGAGTCTCAGAAGTCATTTCGACTGCTTTGTTTTTGAGCTTTGCCTGTGCCCTGGTTTCCACCGGGCGTGC